GGTCTTGGTGTAATGAAAATCAACTTGATGTATAAAAAGTACTGCTTGATCATGAAAAAATGCAACTTGAAGTTTTGTCACGTTTGGGCTAGCATATTATATACTATTTGAGCATATAGAAAATCGGGGATTTTTTTTGCGTCATTAATATTTTCGTAAGACCAGCACTTTCAGTTTTCAGCTGCAGAAAACTAGCTCACATGTCAGGCATTGCCCTATTTCATAACGACGTCACGGTTTGTTTACATCGGCTAAAACGATAGAAATTTAGGCTAAATTCTCTTCTTTCGAGATATTTAGAGTAATATGTAGTTGTTCTTGCCTTCACCAGCTCATAAACCAAATTTCATTGTGATTAAAGATGTGTTGTTTTCATTCCTTCCCCCTCCAGCGACAATGAACCCTAGCGTTAAAACATTGGTTTGTTTATGTGAMGTCATTATGAAATAGGGCACTTTGGCCTCGTTGTTTTGGTCACATAATTATAATCAAAATTGACATTTAAAAGTGCTACCTTTGTAGACAAGTGAGGCCCCCCATCTGCACGTGGTTTTCCCCCATCGAACATAGGCTACCCCTCCTGGTCCACGATCACCTTTAGGTCCAGGTGGTCCTCGTTGTCCATTACTTCCTGGTCTGCCCGTCGTACCAGTTGGACCTATTGTTATGAAGTTTTTAGTGAGATGTGATGGGGTTCCAGTTATTGTTTTTAAGGCCAGTTTACATGAAGCTCAAAGTGATCCCACTACTAGGACTAATTTCGTCCCCTGGGAAAATAAGATAGAGAAGCAGTCACAGGCTCTCGGGTCACCCTATTTCTGTGTAATTTTTTTTTTTGAAATGTGGTTATGAAATATCAAATATAGTAGCCTGATAATAGTCCCCCATAAGGTTGGTACAGATTAAGAGTAGGGTGCATCGTGAGAAAGATAATAAAGACTATTCATCAATCGTGTACTCTTATCAAAGAGGCAAAAGGCAAATTAAACTGGGCGCATTTCTTTTACCTGGTGACCCTGGCAACCCATCACGACCATCTCTGCCTAAAACAAACAAAATATAAAGTAGTTAATCATCAGATATTTTTGAAGACATTTTAATTTTAATTTGGATCGAATGACAACGATCTATTAAACCGGCTAATGTCTTTCGTTCACCTTACCTCGAAGAAAATGAATTCTTCTTGATTCAAGCTGATGAACTCTGGAAAAGAAGCAAATTACAATAACAGTTCCTCGCTTCTCTTTGCCGGGTGGTTTATTGATGGTTTATTGCTTATTGAGTGTGTCAATGGTTCTACACAAACTAAGATAGTGCCAGGCTGACCGGAAAGACTTTACAAAGAAGGAGGGTAACCCTATCTCTACTATCCCAAAATGAATTGCAAGCGCGATATAAAAAGTTTTCCTTTAAGCAATATTTTAGAAATTGAAAAATCAATTGTACTTAAGAAGAGTGTAGGTCATACCTTTTAGCGATATCTATTTATAAATCATTCAAGAAATATAAAGATACAAGTTAAAATACTGAAGTACTTTTGAAGTGATTTTTTCAGGTTCAGTACAGATCCTGTAACTGGCTACTTTCAAATTTGCCAAATTAGTCGAACATATCTTTATCGAATGCTAAAGCCTTAGTAACATTAGTGACCGTAGAAGTATCATCACAAAAAGATTCACATAAACCGGTAAAAAAGCCACACAATAAGACACTTGGTATACTAGTGGATCCTCCTCTTGCCCGGCGGCCAAGTTTTCCCTTTTCAAGTCTTAGCTAGGGATAACTCGCCCTCCCAGAACACAACTATTCTAAGAATAGACCACACACACATCGATTCTCAAACCTCTTTTATCACACATAACTTAACCATTAATGAGGCCCTGTTAAGGGTAAATTTCAACAAGCTCTTCTTTTTTTTCAAAATAACTACTAACTTATATAAAAATAATTTTCTTTGCTTTTTTACATACTTCAAGCATTTCGAACGAAATTAAAGCAATGTATTCTAGCTCTAATGCGGGTTACCTCTTCGTACGTCACTCGGAGTTATTTTGGTATAAAGTGATAATTCAAAATCAAAGCACTTTTTAAAAGTATATTTGATTAAATGTGCCGCTTTAGTATAGATCTTTATGCAATAAAAAGTAACCTCATTCAAATAATCATGATCCGGAGATCCACTTGCTGTCTATACTGGTTTTGTGGTTAATCCCTACCTTTTTTGTAGCTGCTTCAAGAGGGTTAGTATGTCCGTCAGACTCTTTGACTGTGCCTGGATCCTTTTTTCTAGAGAAACATCGTCATCTTGGCCCTGCATTGATCCAGCTTCATCACAAACCGCCAAGAGGATAAACACTACTAACACCACCACCAGCATCTTACACAAGGCCATCTAGAAAACCGTAAGTAGGCTTAGTGAAGAAAAGAACACTGTAAACCTCTTGTTTGAAGACCAGAGCTGTAAGGAACACTTTTTACTACTCTTAGCCTTTTTCAGCGTGAGGATCATTGCGCTACACGAGATTTTTCCTGCTAAAACAAGAACTTGTCCTTCAATCCCCTTTTCTCGTGTGTTCTATAAACCATTGTATCTCGGGCATATGCCAATCAAATGCAATTTGCAATTCAAAAACACTGTGGGCCCAAATTGTATTATTTTTCCGATATCTCAGTGATGTTTTATTATTTTTCTATGTTGAATGCTCAAGTAGTAAAGATATCAGTTGATCAGAGTTCTATTTTGTTCAAATTAGTTGCAATCAAATCGTCAAGAATTTGACATATAAAAACAGCGAGTAAACTAGTTTTATTAATTATAAATAGCACTAGTGCCAAAGTCGTCCAAAATCGATTTAGCCAACTACTTTGTGATATAAAATATGCTGTATGTTGGCTTCATTACTTTTAAAAATTATCTTATACTATATGGTATTTTCATTTGATCTGAACATAATGGTTTCATGGGCTCAAGTTACTCGTG